GTCTTTTGGTTTACTTAAAATGTTTTGGAGGGCTTTAGTTGGTATGTGTGCTACAGAGATGCCATGTGGTTGTAATAGTCTATTGGTGGTTTCTGAGACATTTCTGATGTATGTCAGTGTGATCCTTTTCATAGCTTGTGTGGGTTGTGTTGTAGGTTGAGTGTCAGGCACTTTTTGATAAAGTTGCGAGGATATCCATTTTGTTGGAAGATGTTGTATAGGTGGTCTGTTTTCTTTTTTTTCTGTTCTGGGTTGCTGCAATGCATTTGTGCTCACTTGAATAATGTTCTTACACAGCTCCTCTTGTGGGAGGTTGGGTTGTTGGTAATGGAGTACTTGGTTGGCGTGGGTTGTTTTCCGATAGACTCGTGTTTCCAATTTGCCATAATTTTCTCTGCTGATGAGGATATCCAGGAAGGATAGTGTGTTTTTCTCCCTGTCAAGTGAACTATATTCCTTTGAATATGTTGTTGATAGTTTCATGTGTCTTCTCTAGTTGTTCCTTGTTTATTATAACAAAAGTGTCATCTACATACCTGATCCATACTTTAGGTTGTATGCATGGAAGTGCTATAGTTTCTAGATGCCACATTACAGTCTCTGCTATGAGTCCCGACAGTGGTGATCCCATGGGTGTGCCTCTGATTTGTTGGTATATTTGTCCATCAAAGTGAAAATAGGTAGTGAGGCAGAGGTTGATGAGGTCCATGATTCTGGGTATTTCGATCTTCGTGTATTGGTTAAGTCAAGTGTGTTGTATAATACTGCTGCTATGGATTCTTTCACTAGTTCTGGGTTTATGGATGTGAAGAGTGCTGTGACATCAAATGGGACTATAATTTCACCTTCATCTATTTGTACATCTTTGAATTTCTGGAAGCAGTGTAGTGAGGAGTTGATCGAATGTTCACTGTTCTCTGTGAGGTATCCAAGCTTTTTTGTCAGTTCTTTTGCTATGTTGTATGTTGGAATCCCTGGTAAAGATACAGTCGGTTGAAGAGGTATGTCAGGCTTGTGTATTTTTGGTTGTCCATAGAAATGTGGGAGGATGGGTTCATTGCTTGTTATCCGCCACTGTTCTTCTTTTGTGATCTGGCCTTTCTTGGTTAGATCGTTAAGGGTTCTCTTGATCAGGTGGTCTAGTTTCTGTATTGGGTTGGTGTCCTCCAGTAATTCTTTGGCTTGTTGTATTGTACTGGGTTCCAGGTGTATGGACTTCAACTCCCAGAATTCTCATCAGTGGCTATGCTGCCTGTGGAATGCTGGGATTTGAAGCCCACACACTTGGAAATTGCCAAGGTTGGGAGAACCTGCTTAGAGGCTCAGATATCATGAGGGGCTGGGGCTGACCAGTAGAATTCAAGGGTCTTAGCTGGACTGTGAGAAACAGTTAGCTTAGCTTGGCTTTGTAATCAGCCAAAACCTGCACTTCCCAGGTTTAGAGACAGAATTGTAAAGCTCTCCATTTGAAGCACAAAGGTGATGGCCCTCTGGTTTGAGGGCTGCTGTGTGAGAATAGGATTGGAGGAGCGTTCCCTCATTCTTTTCTCCCTCTTCCTTGTTAGGCTCCTCCAGGCATTCTCTGCGCTATTTCTACTTGGGGATATCAGAGCCCAGCCAGGGGCTGCCACAATTCCTCACAGTGGGCTACCTGGATGACCAACCCATCACTCACTATGACAGCCTGGAGAAGACAAAGATACCTCTGGTGTCCTGGATGAAGAAGGTGGAGAAGGAGGATCCCAGCTATTGGGAAGAGGGGAGCCAGATCTTGAATGCCACTCAGCAGGTGTTCAGAAATGACCTAAAAAGAGTCCAAAACCGCTACAAGCAGAAAGGAGGTGAGTGAAGGCAGAATCAGCACTTAGAGCCTCTGGGGCATAGCAGTTAATTAATCGTATACATACGTGAAGAAAAATTATTTATTCATTTATCACATTTATATAGCTACCCATCTCACACAAAGCAACTCTGGGTGGCGTACAACAATTAAATAAAATAAATAGATAAAAACAATCATTATAAAAGATAAAAAGTGATTATTAAAATACAGCATCATCAAAAAGTTTAAAAATTTTAAAATATACAAACCCCACAGAGAGTGCAGAATATCAATTACAGTGGAGCCATCTAAGAATGTCTGTGGTTCCCAAAGACCCCCAGGCCTGATGACACAACCAGGTTTTGAGGGACTTCCAAAATGACAGCAGGGAAGGGGCCAGCCTCACTTCAAGGGGAAGAATGTTCCACAAGGAGGGAACCACGGCAGAGAAGGCCCGCCTCCTGGGACCCACCAAATGCAAGTCCCTGGGCGTTGGAACACGTAGCATCCCTTCCCTGCTGGATCTAATGGGATGGGCTGATGTGATCAGGGAGAAATAATCTGTCTGTGTTCATCCCTCATGTCTTTCTCCTCCAACCAATTGGATTAGAAGAAGGAAGTGGGTAGAGATACTGACCCCTTTGATCTCTTGCATACTGGAGAGCATGTGGGGGTAGGGGAGGAAGAATGAGAGCAGCCCCCACCCCGTAAAGAAAGGGAGATGCTGGTCTTGCTGCCCATAGGAACTATTCTGTATGGCACCAAAATTCTCCCTCCCTCTTCTTTATGTCCAAAAGCTACATTTGTGGCTCTGAACTACCACTTAGTGTGGGAAAATGAAGAGGTTTTAAAAAAATAAAACAGATGTATGAAAACTACTGAAAGTCAACATACCTATTGTACTTATTGCATGTTATTGTGTGTCAGTAGATTATATTAACTTCCTAGTTAGTGGGAGACAGGAAACAATATGCTGGCTTACAAGGAAAGGATCCTGGCTTGCACAGAATAGCCCAAGCATGCCTGGAAGAGAAAGTGGTTGTGGCTATGGCATCTTGGCCAAAATAGGTCCAAACTGACCAGGTCTATACTTGACATTAGAAGGGACCGATTAAGCCTGGTAACCTTGTCTACCTTACTAAAAATAGGGGTGAAAACCTTGATTAGACAAAGCCATGATGGGTGTCTCTGGGTCCATGTGATGATGATTATGAGGGATGGAAGAAGGGCACTTGGAATGTAAAGAGGAGTAAAATGGAATTAACAACTGGGGAGGGAGGGAGGGAGGAAGAAAGCTCTGTTGTGTGTCTGTTAACCTAAGAGAAAGGGCAAACCTTTAATAAATCTGAATGAAGTTAGTCTGATCTGGTGCAATGGAGTTTATATATTATTAATTTAACTTATAGCAATTCATATGGCCGCCCATCTTGCACTTGTGACTCTGCACAGCAGACATAAGATTCCAAAGAACAAATGGAAGAAAAAGACAACTAATAATAATTAATAGTTAACTAATAATTAACAAGATAATGGCACCCAAACACTATCTGATTCAAATCATAGAAAACACGAAATCACATTGTTTCCTCCCCCAACCTTCAGACCCCAGGCCCAAAGAAATATCCAGCACTTCATGAAATGCTAGCAGTCACGGCCAAATGAATCTGGGGGAGGGGGGGCATGGGATTCCAGAGGGCAGGCCTGTGACGGAGAAGGCACACTTCGTGGATCCTGTCAGGCGGGACTGGTTAATGGACGGGAGTACACGAAGGGAAGGTGGAGGTTTATTAATGCAAGCTCTAAAATGCATGTCAGAAAGTATAAATTAGTTATCTAGGCGGTATGGGCTGAACAGACTTTATTTTCTGCAGTTCTTAAAAAATATTTGAATGTGAGAAAGAAAGTTTACTGTAGGTTGATTTAGAGAAAGCCTATGGTGAAATGAATAGTTTTGGGTTAAGGAATGTTTCATGTGCATATGAGTTAAAAGTTGGCTGCTGAATGCCCTCTGGGTAGTATGCTGTATGGTGGAGGTACAGCAAGTGTGAGACTAAATGGAATACTTAGCAAACTTTCAGAACTGAGCAGGGAGTAAGGCAAGGATGGATGATCTCTCCTTGATTGCTTAATGCATTTTTGGATAAATGGTTGTATGGAGGTGATGAGATCTTTTCATTCTTCAGGGGCTGTCGCAGGGAAGAGGGTATAGATTTACTCTTCATAGCACCTGAAGGTAGGACAAGATCCAGTGGGTGGAAGTTTTACAGAAAGAGATCCAATCTCATGAGGTGGAATGTCCTGTCAGAGCTATTAAGCAGTGGAATAGTCTGCCTCCTGGAGCTGTGGGTACCTACTTCTGGTGGAATGGCGGGAACCTCAGCCTCTTTTGTGGGGTATCTGAGGAGGGGCCATTTGGGCCCTTCCTCACTCCTTTTGTGTTTTTTTTCAGGGCTTCACACCTGGCAAGCAATTTATGGCTGTGAGCTCAGAGGAGACGGGAACAAAGGTGGTTATTCACGGTATGGCTACGATGGGAGGAACTTCATCAGCTTTGACAAGGAGACCCTCAGCTGGGTGGCAGCCGAGCCCCAGGCCCAGATCACCAAGACGAATTGGGAAATTAATCTGCAGTGGTCCCAGAGAAATAAATTCTACCTGGAAGAGGAATGCATTGAGTGGCTGGAAAAGTACCTGTCCTATGGGAAGGAGACACTGCTGAGGACAGGTGCGTGCCTCGGGGGAGGAGAAACACAGTGCTGGATTTAGACTTGGTGAGGGCCTAAGATAAATAAGCTTGGAGGCCCCTTGTTAGAAAGTTACACCAGAAGATCTCACTAAGGTGCATACCAAAACAGGGCCTTGGGTCGCCACAAAAAAACTGAAAACATATATTTGCCTTTTAATTAATAGCAAGGTATCTGAAGTGAAAAATACAAATTATTTTCAAATGAATGCATGTAATGATTACATATTTATCATGTGGCTGGCTTGATCTCTCTCATAGATTATAATATAGTATACCCTGGAAACGATACTTAAATGTAATCTTTACAATAATTTTAAGATTCATTACTATATATACAAAATGCTGACAAAATAAGTAATCTGGATCACTTTTATTCATATAAGTAATAATGAACTTGTTTGCAAAATCAGGAAACTGATATTCTGAAATTTTCTGAGGCCGCGTGGATTGTGAGGCCCTAAGCTGTAGCTTGTTTAGTTTATGCCTAAATCCAGAAATGTCATCTAGGGAGAGGCAAGTAGTACAGGAAAAGGGGTTTCAAGGGTATTACTTCTCCCCTTCACCAATTAATCCCAGACCAGGCAAGCAATCTGTGTCCTAAAAAGGGGCACTGCCCCATTTAATAACAATAATTTATTAAGTTTTATGCTGCCCAACTCCCAGTGACTCTGGGTGGTTTACAAATGGTTAAAAACATTTAGAAACAAGGAAACAACAAAAAAGAATAAAGGTGGCAGAAATGATGAAACCAGATGGGAACAGAGAAAAGGGGGGCTTCAATCACCCTCGCCAAAGGCCAGGGCAAAGAGCCAGGTTTTCAGGGCCCTTCAAAACACCAGTAGGGTGGGGGTCATTCAAATCTCAGGGGGAACCTCATTGCAGAGGGCAGGTACTATAACAGAGAAGGCACACTTTCGGGTTCCCAACAGATTAGGGGTCCTCAACCTTGGCAACTTTAAGACATGTGGACTTCAACTCCCAGAATCCCCCAGCCAGCATATGTTGAAGTTGTGGAGTTGAAGTCTACATGTCTTAAAGTTGCCAAGGTTGAGGAACCCTGCAATAGATGGCATTGTTTAACTGAAGGAACCCAGAGTGAGTTATTAAGTTACAGTAACAGGTTCTTGCAAGTCTGAGACGCTTTCTCAAATTACATTTTTGCCCTGCACTCAGATTTCTTTTATCTGACTATTATATTGGCTGGGGATCTTCCTGTTCCACAGTTATTCCTTCTGCCTATTACAACCATGTAGGACTTTATAGGTAGCAACCAGTGCCTTGACAGCTGGCAACCACAAAGCAGAGGAGTCGCATTGGCATATGGAGGCATGCCCATCACTGCCTGTGCTGCTGCATTTCTGGATCAGCTGAAGCTTCTGGGTGGTCTTCAAGGGCAGCCCCATGTAGAGTGCATTGCAGTACTCAAGCAATGAAGTAGCTTCAGGGTATGGGGGACAGGGAGATGCATTTGGGGATGCTTCAGTTCCAAGAGAGGAAAGCTTGCAGAGGGGAGAGTGCATTGGGAGTGGGTCTTCCTCCCTTTGTTTCTCTTTGCAGGGGTGCTTATAGTGCAGCTCTCCCTGCAGCTGAAATGGTACAGCCCACTCTTCTGTCTCTAATTCCTTCTACAGAGACTGGCCCATGGGGAAACTGAATGGAAACTGAATGGGGCTGGCATCCTAGGTGTTGCTCTTCAATAGGAAAAAGTCAGTGATTCTAGTGGGAGTGGAGGTGGGGAGGAAGCTCAAATGGGAATTCTAGGACTCTTTCTCCACCTTTGAAAAAAATGGATGACCAGGAAGGAAAAAGTAAGAGCAAACCAGGTGTGTTGAACATGACAGGCTTTCAGTTTGAGTTGATTGTTTTGTGGTGCCCATCTTCTGTGTGTGCGTTGGTTGTTTTGTATATTGTTGTAATGATTTTTCTTGTGAGTTCATTTTTACTGTGTCATAGGACATCCAGAGTACAGATTGAGGCAGGTTACTGTCATGGTCCCAGCTCTGGACTTGAGTCTGAATCTGAGGAAGCTGAAGATGTTACCTAGTCAGGTAATGAAACGTCTGCAAGAAAATAACCAAGCTTAGAGAACCCCAAGGACTTCACAGTTCGACCCTAAGCTACAGATGTTGTCTTCTGTTGGTACCACACATGGGTGTCAAATGCTTCAGAAAGCACGCAGATGGGAGAAATTTGCAAGTAGGCAACCTCCACCAAGGAGCTTTGTAGATGAATGTCTATGACAGCATACCCTGCCCACCAGTGGCAGATACAAACCTCCAATAAACTGCACAGCTGGATGGAAAATAGCTCAGTAAAGAGGCTGAAAAATGATACAACTAATGATCATGGATGCTCACCTCAGATTCAACAAATACCAGCACACCACCAGAATTTTGGTGCAGCCCTAGAAGCAGCATTTAAAACCACAGAACTTGCCACAGAGACCCAAGAAAACATAAGGCAGACCATCATACCATGGACCAGAAGAACACAGAAGCAGAACCAACTCAAAGCAGAGGACAGAGCAACCCAGTACAATACAAGCCAAAGAATTACTGGAGGACACCAACCCAATACAGAAACTAGACCACCTGATCAAGAGAACCCTTAACGGCCTAACCAAGAAAGGCCAGATCACAAAAGAAGAACAATGGCAGATGAAAAGCAGGGGACCCATCCCCCCATGCTTCTATGGACACTCCAAAATAAACAAGCCTGACATCTCTCTCCAACCAACTGTATCGTTACCAGGGACCCTAACATACAGCATAGCAAAAGAACTGACAAAAAAGCTTAGACACCTCACAGAGGGGAGCAAATATTCTATCAAGTCCCCACTACAGTGCTTCTAGGAAATCAGAGACCTAAAAATAGATAAAGATGAAAGTGTGGTTTCATTTGATGTCACAGCATTCTTTACATCCATAGACTCAGAACTAGCGAAAGAATCCACGTCAGCAGTACTACAAAACACACCCGACCTAACCAAATACACTAAGATTGAAATACCCAGAGTCATGGACCTCATCAGCCTCTGCCTCACAACTTATTTTCAATTTGATGGACAAATATACCAACAAATCAGAGGAACGCCCATAGGATCACCAACTCTTTGGATGGTCTCTGGCGGGAACGGGATGGGGGTAGTGCATCCATCCTTGCTCGTCTTGACCTCTCAGCGGCTTTCGATACCATCGACCATGGTATCCTTTTGGGTTGGCTCGGCGAGTTGGGGGTGGATGGCACAGTTTTGTGCTGGTTCACCTCCTTCCTCCAGGGCCGGTCCCAATCGGTGTTGATAGGGAGCAAGAGGTCCAGCCTGCAATCCCTCCTTTGTGGGGTGCTGCTGGGTTCCGTACTTTCCCCGCTCCTTTTTAACATCTACATGAAACCACTGGGTGAGATCATCCGCCACCATGGGATGAGGTATCATCAATATGCAGATAATACCCAG